GTTATTTTTTTAATTAAAACAAACTTATTTCTACCTTGGCTTTTCTGACTCATAAAAGTCTTCTCAAAAATTTTCTATTTATATAGTAAATACTCTTAACCCAGCCAACTTTCAAACATATTTTAAAATCCAGTGGGTGATAAAGTTATATCTTGCTTCCAGAAAGATACATTTTAATTCGAATCAACTTTTTATTCATGGATGTGTAAAAACATTTGAATATACACCTATCTTCAGTATTCCTTTATTTAATCAAAAATAAGAAAAGAGCATTGGACTAAAACTAAAAGTTGTAAATAATCATTTAATAACATATATAAATCCAGTACACATTTATTTTCATTTTTTAGTTTAAAAGCAAGAAACAAATACATTATTTATGATTATTTTATTTAAGAGAGGTTAATATAACCCACAACTATGAAAATTACATTTTATCTCATTTTATTTTATATTTTTCCATAAACAGGATCTGTGGCTAAAATTCTATGAACTTATCAAATATTTTTTATCACTTACAGCTTGAAAATTCCAAGGGACAGGAATGTTCATCCATAGGAAAGTTATGAAGCTGAAGGTAACATTCTGCATTAATCGTCAATCTATTTAGAGGGAAAAATAAGTATTAAATAGAAATAATTTTAAGCATTTAAAATTTCTTGACTAATTATGAGGTATGATCTTGGCTTATAATATAGAACTGTGATTATTAGAATATTAATTCTAAATTCTCAAAGCATTAAATGGTAATATTATTATATTCATAAATGAGTATGAAAACCCTAACATTTTTCCTCCCCAGAAAACTAAGTCTCCTCTGTATATAATTCAGTATGATCCCTGCATTTGCCTTTAAAAATTCATACTTCGATATCTCAACAAATACACACATGCACACAAAAATGCACACAGCACCAGAATAACAGATTACACGTGGTTAAGTGTAGTGACATTTTCTCTTAATTTATTATGAACATCTTTCCATTAAGGATGATTCTTAATAAGCAGATATGTTCAAGGCAATAAATTAAACTCGAACCTTATGCATCAACCCTCGTTTAATCTTCTCTTAGGGACGTGTTACCACACCACC